TTCCCGGGCACAGCAGCAGCTGCCTCCTGTGTGCTGCACTTGCATCCTCCAAAAACCTRCCAGAGCCACAGGAAGCAGGGCTGGAAGGAAACACTGGCACCACCAAACAACCACCAAACCCCTCTCTAAAGCAGAGCTGGCACAAGTACAGGGTGAGTTTGGAGCCACCTGAATGCATCACTGGCTGCACATCGGTGAGTGCCTCCATTCACAGTCTCCTTGATGCTGCAGGGGACATGGCAGCTTTGTGACAGCACTCAGCACCCTCAAGCAAGACAAGAACTGAAGGAAAAACACTGTCTGTTTTAGCCTGAAACCACAAGAAAARTAGAGATAGTAAAAAAGAATGAGCAATTTGGTCAGGAAACATGAGTGAGCCRTCCAGCTCCATGGAAAATACAAAGGGTCTGTGAGTAACCACACAAGGTCAGGATCTGGGGATTATATCTTGTCTGAAAGATAAAACTTCTAGTGATATTTTTTAAAAGAAGTTTATATTTGAAGATGTTTGATACCAAAAATAAACTCCCAGAGGATCACAGTGTTGAATACGTGAAGATTTCTGACACTGTTTTCCAAATAATAATGGAAAACCTCATCTGGCTGAAATTTCCATGCTTTGTTTTAATAAAGTCTAATTCTTTGAGTTATCTGGATGTTTAACTTAGAGGGACAATTATGAATTGCTCTTGTCTGGACTGYAGGGGAAAAAAATAATACAGAAATATTGCCCAGGGTTTGATAAGTTTGATATGTCTCTGCTGTCCTTCCACAACAGCTGATACAAGGCTGTGCTGTGCTCATGAGAAGCCCCCCAGCCTGAAGGATGAGCTCTCACTACAGTTTTGGCTAAGCCAAGGCTTTTCTTGGTTGTGACAATCCATTTGCTCCTCATGTAATCGCTCAGCTCCTTCCTCTTGGCAATGTCAGACCTGGAGAGCAGAACCAGCCCCAAGTCCCATTTCTCAGYGCTCCTTTCCAGTGAAACCAACCTAAAAACATCTGGGAAATGGTGTGGGACCAAGTGCCTCCACCACCAGGCACCGTTCCTGTCTCTCCTTCAGCAGGGCCGATGCCCGGCCGCTGCCTCGCTGGCCTCGCCACCGTGGCTGGAGCTTGGAGTGGTCAGCTGGTCCTCGATGTGGCCAAGGTTCCTGATGCAGTTGCCTGACCATCTGAAACTGGACGGCAGCCCTGAATTCTTTTCTCACAAGTCACTTGGCCAGGCACCAGCTGGTAAATACTTTCAGTCTCTGCATCCCGGGGCTGGGGTGGAAGCAGTGACCTCAAGGTAAAAGACTGCCTGGCCCAGCCCTTGTCCCTTGGAGTGGCCGGTCCTCCCAGCCTGGCTCTGCTGTCCAGTTAAGGTGTGAGAGGGAATATGAGCAGAGGGAATAAAAATGGCCAGACAGGCATGGAAATAGCCATTGCCACCTCTCTCGGCTCTTGCTGTTTGAAACCAGAGCCAGATTTRTTCTGGGTAGGAAACAACTCTCCCATCCTGCCAAAAGCAGAGATATTTCAAAATTTCCCGAAGTCATGGTGTTTTCCAGAAGTCTCATGAAAAACATCCAGCAGCCACCCCAGAGTGTCCAACAGCTGAGGGAGACCTGAGGCATCTCCATTTCAGCTTAGGGCTGTCGATTTTTCCAAGCTGGATGCGTGTCCAGCTTTCCCACCTGTGCTGTCCACTCTCCATGGGCAGCCCTGCTCCTCTGCAGCAGGGATTTGAGCCAGGAGTTCCCAGGAGCAAAGGGAATGTTCTCCCCACTAAGATGTGGAGCTGGGCTCACCCTGGACYCACGTTTTCACAGCCAGGACCCAGGACAGCCTCAGTGCTCCCCACCAGAGATGGACATCCAGACCCTTCTCTAGGGAGGGTGTTTATCACACGATGTAGAGGAGTCTCGAGCAAAGGAAAGGCATGAAGGGAGAATATGCTCAATATCCATCCCAGATGGATGCAATTTCAGCTGAGCAGAGTGTGCAAATGAGAGCTTTTCTGTGTTATTCACGATGGCACRTTAGAACAGCAAGCACATGAAAAATCTCAGCTCTCTAAAATGTAAATTCACTGGGGCAGTTCTTTCATTTCTATAGAAACAGCAGAGCTTGCCAGCGGCTAACTCAAAGGAGATGTATTCAGATCCCTGTATCAACTATTTTCTTGCACAACTGACCACAAAAAAAAAAGAAAAAATTAGAACCCTCCCCAAAAACCTGACGATAATACCACAGAAACTGCAGAGCGAGACATATGGACTTAATTACCAGCTCTGAAATCACACGTATGGTACAGAACACRTACAGGGTACGTGCTCTAGAGGGGAAGGGCTACAGCTGAGGATTTATAAAATGAACTGCTAATGTKCTGTTCTGGTGCAGCTTTGCAGATCAAAACCAGTGCAAGGGCTGAATTCCTGTGCCAGGCTCTGCCTGCAGCCCATGGGTGCACACATGGGACCTGGAGTGATGGGAGAAGAGAAGCCCAAGTCCATGTCACCCATGGAAAAGTCTCTTGGGGAAGGCAGATCATGAAAGACATTGTGGGTACCCCTCCAGCCAGCTCCTCTGGGCACCTCCAAAACCCAACAAGGSACCACCAAGGATTGCCAGTGCTATTGGAAGTGTGGGATGGTTGGTTTGGCCCCATCTGGCTGCTTGGCTTGAGGCTGTGGACTTGACTTAGGCTTGGCCCGAGCTTTGACAGCTTCCTGCTGATGTCACATCATCACAGTGGTGTCACCTTCCTGCGTCTAAACCTCTGTGACAACATGTGAGGGGGTAAGTCTCTGTTTTGGAGCTGAGAGGGTAAAGAAGGGAGCTGACCCTGTACCCAGGATACATCAGGTGGCAGGGGTTTGGTGCCCAGTGGACTCCCCTGGGCAGCCCTGAGCCTCAGCCTCCTCCAGGGGTGCCCTGCTGCCCCCTGAGACCTCACACAGGTCTGCTGGCTGCTCCAAGGGTCATTCATTGTGGGAAATTAGAGGGTTTTATTTCTGTTACCAGCACTACTACTGTCCCCTGGTTCCTAACTGGGAAATGAACTCATGGCCATTAATTAGGATTCCCTAATAAACACAAGCCTGGAGTTATTAATTGAACTGTCCCCCTGTGGCAAGTCTGGGTTGGCATTTTGGCTGCTCCCAAGCCACTCCCAGGATGCTTGGCTGAGCTGTAGACAGTGGGAGGGCACCGGCTCCGGAGCAGAAAGCAGAGCAGGGCGATGTCTCCAGCCTTAAACATCAAACCCTCGGGCTTTTCAGCATTTGTCAGCGGGGCCTGAACTCCCCTGCCAGTGAGTTCAGAGCAAYGTGCCATCCTCATGCCTCCTCTGCCACGGGCTGGGCTGCCAGAGCAGAGCCCTGGACCTCCAGGCATGGCTTGGGTGATGCAGGGAGCTGGGGCTCCAAAACCCAGAGCGGCTGGGACAAGTGAYAGCAGCCTTTGGGAAGCAGCTGCAAGCTGCCACGACCTTGTTATCAGCCTGATGGTGGCTGATTGAGCAAAACCAGAGTGGAGAATTGGGGTGGTAATGAGAGAGATCTGCTCTCCTCCCTGCTGGGCTATGCCCGCCCCGCTCCRTGCCCTTCCAGGCTCTGGCAAGCGTGGAGCTGAAGTCGGGATTGTTGCTCAGGTGAGTGAGAACCTGCTTCTTAAAGGCAAAATAGAGGGGGAAAGGCTGGAGGGAGGGATGGGGCATCARTCTCAGCTGCATGATTTGGGGATTTTGGTGGTCTGCTTATATGACAGACACCCAGCACCTCCTGTGTGTCTGCCAGCACGCACCTGATATCCAGCAACGGCTCTCACCAGGCCTGAATGACACAGGGACCCTGTGCACAGCCACCAGGATCCATCCCTTGGGCCAGGACAGCAGCAGCAGCCCTCCAAAACACACCCTGCAGGCAAGGGGCAGGGGATAGGGTACAAGAGAAGAGTCAGGGAGAGCTGCAGGACATCCTGCATTCTTAAACTCCAGCTTTCCCTTTTCTCTGGGCTCACAAATTCTCCTTCCACATCTCATTATAAGGTCTGGGGAGTGGGAACATGGAGAAGTGGCTCTGTCTAGTGAAGGTCTTGAGGTGCTTGGGTTTGTCTTTCCTAAGAACCAATCCTCACATCCCCCGTTACAGGGAACAGGAGAAAAACTTGCCTAGGGCAGACTGAGGAAGTGCTGGGACAAAACTGCTGAGCACCTGCTTCCCTTCCCCAAACTTGGATTTCTAATTCTCACACTTGCCTAAGATGGTGATAATGCTTCAGGGGCTGAATTTGGGTTTGCAAGGCTTGAACTCAGCAGGCTCAGACTGCAGCTTTTCCTGCATTATGTACCCAGGACAATGCAACACAATGGGCATCCAACCACCCCACCCCAGCAGCTTCCCCAGGTGGCCCCAGCTCCACTCAGGACGGGGTGACATGGCACCACCACCACCACCACCACCACCACCAGCACCACCACAGCAAATCCCTTTCCAGCTCTTCTGGGCAGCTCACTTCTCTTCACAGCCTGCCAGGCACTGGGTGCAGCATTAAATAGAGGGGTGAGTGCCCTGCTCCTGCCTGGTCATGGCATTGTCCCACAGCAGCAGCAGGGACAATCCTGTCAGTCCCTTCAAATCCCAGGAGGAAGATGCCAGCTCTGCCTGGGCAGACCTCAATCAGTAGGATGAGGCATGAACCTTCCCTCCCAGGCTAGGAGCAAGGAGCTGGATCATCCCACCGGCTTGGTGCCTCTCCCCTGCTCCCCAGGGACAGCCCAGCAACCCTGCCCTTCACTCCTTGTCTCGGTGCACAGCATATTCTCACCTTGAGGAGAGTGGAAATGGCAGCTGGAATGTG